TGCGATCGCATACATTGAGGGTCTGATTGTAGATCCGACGCCCTTCAATATTAAAATTCTGCAAGGGTTCTAGACTGATTAGGTCGACATGCAACAGTATTAGAGAGAATTCTTAACAGATACGCTTCAAGGACCTAAAGTTTTGTAGACAGAACTTGTCAGGAGGGAAAAACTTCAAAGCTTTTTGATGTTTGTTTTTTGGGCTGCGGCCTAAATTATTTAATTTACTGCTGGCACTGATTACTTGATCTTCCTTCATCTTTCAGAGGGAAATGAGAAACTGCTGGTAGCATAAAGCAGCAGTAACCGTACTATATATTCTCTAGTTGCTTGAGCTGCTAACTAGTTGTACTCCTTATGCCTATCGCTCCTTATTTTTTATGTCTATTTCATTGATTTTGTCGCGGACGGCTTGCTTTGGAAAAGCAATATCTCTTTCGTGACATAGATTCTCGGCCATTTTCATAAATAAATATGACTCGAGTTTATTTTCAGCAAGTTTTACAAGGTCTTACATGGTGGGCAGATGTCTCGGACAAGGTGGTTTTGGTACTGTATTTTCTGCGCTTCGTCTTTCCGATATGAAAAATGCAGCTGTTAAAGTTATGCAGAAAACCACAATCAAGGAGTGGCGTAAAGTCAGTAGCTTTGTTTCTGTTCAAGAATTATTTTACAGTATTGCCAATATAGAAATCTCTAATTTTATTTACTGTCATTTCAGATCAAAGGTCGCAAGGTTCCGCTTGAAGTTTATTTTCTTTTGTCTCTAAAAAACGTCGAAGGAATCATCCGTTTTTATGACGGTTACAATTTCAAGTACGAATACTTGTTGGTAATGGAAAGGCCGGAGCACTGCCAGGATTTACTCGATTATATGACGAGATTTCAGGGTTTAAATGAAACTGTGACAAAGGCAATATTTAGACAGGTACTTTTTTTTGAAGTTGCAGTTTCTTCTAGCTTTTTTTTCATAATATGTTGAGGCGCTCAAATGCAGGACTTTTAACGATTGAAGAGAACAAAGCTTACAGGTGGTTGAAGCGGTTATTGAATGCTC